GAATACAAAGTTATGATAAAAACACTGAAAGAATGTGCAACTGCCTGTTTAAAACAAGAAATTCCGTTACATAATCCGTTAAAACAACAAATTCCGTTAGTTTTTCCGTTAAACCAACAAATTCCGTTAAATAGACACTTTTTATATATAAAAAGATTTGTAAATATTTCAGCAAAATGTGTTCTCCGTAACGGTTATGTAAAATGTAACTATGAAAAAAATATCGTATGTAAAGAATAAGTACACCTTATATATAGGATGCATTTTGTAAATTTTCTTAACTAATCAAACATTTGTAAATAACAAAAATGAGCATAACATAACTTTTATTTGAGATTTTATATTTACAAAATTAAAAAATTAAAATGTAAATATTACAATTTATATTTTGAATTTTTAAAAATAATTTAGTAAACGTTGATTTACCGGTCTATTCATTAACTTACTGATTCAACTAGTAATTCGATGATTCAGTACATTGACAAGTCAACGTCCAAATAAAATATAGTATCTATGACTAAAATACATCGTTCACGTTAATCTATTGCAACACCTAGTTGGATTCGTCAAATGTCACTACTCGTGTTTACATTTATTAGACTAATTGGATACCTATTAAACTACTTGTACATACAAAGTGTATCATTTGATTGACGTCTCCTATATGTCAAAAGTTTGACAGTTGATAGGAAAAGATGTTAAGATCAATGTACCAAAATCTGACAACTTATATGAATGTAAACCAATGTGTCAATCTTTGACTTCGTTTCATATTTTATATGAATAATAATGTTATATTGCAAGTGGAAATTAAACTAACTTTGACTTCGTCATTGTGCCAACTTTTCGATGTTTCTGAAGTTTGAGTGTTCACGCTTCAACTACCCCATTACCATTTCTAGGTTGAGAAGCCGGGTCAACTCGTCTCACTTAAATCGGGTCACTATCCAAACCGAAAGACAATTTGTATATTAAAATGGGAAAATGACAAGGACCTGTAGCTGGATAATTTCAAGTGTATTAAAAATTGCTGTGTATTTCAATTATAGCTCTAAAATTAAAGAATAGATTAAAGAAGTCTTTCAAACATTGTAACATTAAATAATTAATTTGACGAATTGAAAAAAATATGTAGTTGGAAAAAAAAAAAAAAAATAGGGATGTGTACAAAGAAAAGTCAAGCAACTTTTGATGAGTATATTTAAAAAATTGAATTGAAAAAATTGAAATTGTCAAGAAAAAATTCCTTAATATGTACAATATATATTTATTATTCAAGTAATAATTATTTTATACTAAATAAAATTAAAATCTTATGAATTTAGCAAGAATATAAATTTAGTGCACTAATTCGAGTCAGGATTAAAATTTTTAATTATAACCAAAATTATTAATTTATGAGACATTCATTTATCAAGATTTTGCCATCCCATATATGCTGTATTTTATTATTTAGGAAAAAACATATCCGATAGACTCTCTAAATACAAGATGTTATTAGAGAGTTAATATTTAAAAATGAGTTTTAAAATACTCTCTATTTAAAAATAAGTTTTAAAATATCACATTCTATATTCTTACTTCTAATAATTGTATTTAATAAATTACAGATTTCAATACTCTCTATTCATTGAATTATTCAAATGATGTTTGCATGGATTAGCGATTGACAAATAAAAAAATATGTTAAATAAAATGAAAAGTCAAAATCGACAGTATTGTTGAAATGTCTAAAAAAATTGAAACCTAAATTTAGAGAAGACGATTTTTGTATGTTAAGCACCACATTAATAGATTGATGAGTCAAATCAACGATATTCAACGTAAATTAAGCAAGGTACTTAGACTATCTTTATCTCTGATGGTCTACATCAAATTTGGTGTAAAAGTATATAATTAGAAATGGTTTATACTAAATTTTAAAGCAAATTTTAGTTTGCATTATTTTATACCAAATCTTATTTTAGAAATTATATTATTAAAAAATCGTTAAATTAGAAACTAAATTTAATGAAATAAAGTATTGCATTTAGCAATACCGCAAATTATAAAAATTAAACTAAACGCACGAGGAAAATTACACATGTATGTTGTTCTAGTGCTAATTTATTAATTATCAAATTTGTAACTTTTGACTTTTTAATGAATAATTTTAATTTATTGTTGAAATAATTATTACTTAATAATTTATTGTAATTTAAAAATAAATATCAAATAAAAATAACCATCATATTATAATAATTATGAATCAATTAAAATCTATTAATACTCAATTATAAAATAAAGATATAGATATAATAAACAATTTTATAAAGTGTAAATAAAGGCAAAATGAGGTTAAATGAAAATTCTTATATTACTTAGTGTAAATAAATAATGTTACATCAAATTTGATGTAATACTATTCATTACGCTATCTTTTTGGAGTACCATTGAGAAGTTTTTACACTAAATTTGGTGTTTTACACCAAATATAAAAATTTGTCCCTTACTGTTTGCGAATTGAAGTCAACCGCTGTCTGAAATCTGTCAAAAAACATGCTTGCATTGACATTTATACTCGTTCCTTAGTGCATAATTAGCTGTAACCACGCAGACGTAAATATTTGTTAATTAAAGATTAGTCAAAATTGTTGACGTCGAAAATTGTTGGAACAAGATTCAAACCAATTTAAAATGAAAATAAGAGTTTTATTGATAACGACTTGCATATTATAATTATAACTATAAGTGTTTACTCTTTTTTCTCAAGAAGATATTTGAAGTATGAAGTGTTTAGAGCCTTTTTTTGCCCCCTTCTCTAAGACTCTCATTCTTCATTTTATAGGGAAATGTTAACATGCATTCGTCATTTCTTGTCTTATCAGCTATACTACCGAGTTGAGAAAGTATACTATTGGTATGTTTAGATTGGTTAACGAGTTCGACTTTTCAAGTCATCATGAGTTTAATCTTACAGGTGGCTCCCAACAATTAATGAATTACTTAGGGGAGGAAGCTAAAACATATGATTGGTAGACTTGGTGGATGCTGATGTAAGGCCTTCCGTATGTCACCCATTAATTGAGGGTTTGTATAATGTGTAAGAAACCTACACCTACCACATCCTACCCACAATCCCAACCCTAACATCATTTCCATCTCTTCTCCTTTCTATATCTCCTCTCTCTCTTTATCCAAGTTCACGATATCAACCGCCACCACCACCATTTAACCATCATCACTATTGCCCTGTACCACCACTGCCACATTATCACCACCTGCACCATCACCACCAAACAACCAATAGCCATCTCAAAATCTAGCAAAAACCACCCCCAAAAACCATTTCAAACCATCGTCACCACCTTTCACGTTGGCAATCAACACAAACCAGATTACGGTTGCTCAACATTGTCTTGGTATTGCCCATCCACAAATCGGCTTGCCACTGCCCATCTACAAATTGCCCGGCGTTGTGAGGCGACGCTTCGGGCAGTGGTGTTGAGCACGATAGTGCGGTGTTGGGTTGACCGAGTAATGATTTATGCCGTGTGAGGTGTGATTGTTAGTTGTAGTGCTGTGTGCGATGGTAGTGCAATGGTTGGGTATGATGGTGGTGGGTGCGGTGTGCTGTGTGCAATGATGTTAGCGACGTGATGGTGGCTCTAGCGATGTCAAGTAGTGTTGACCAATTGTAATGAGGTGGTAGGGGTGGCTTTGGCCATGGTGGTGTTTGACAGAGGTGCGATGGTGAAGTGATGGTCACAAATGATGATGGTGTCACAAATTATTGATTGATTGTGACCGATAAATAATACGTGACCTAAAAATTTGAGTCGTGACTTAAATATTGTCATTTGTAACCAATAAATTAATAGTGACATAATCTTTTTTGATATGTGATCATTTAATTTGATAATATGTGACCAATAAGTACATTGTGACCCATAAGTACATAACTATTACCATTAATTGTATAATTATGACATTACTATATTTAGTTAATAAAAGATTTTTAATTATTTATTTATTACCTGAGTTTTCGAATTGTAAAGTTATTGTGTGAAAATTGAGTTGACCTATTTGTAATACTTTAGATATAAAGTTTCCCCTTTGGTCAAATCTTGCACTAAATTGAAAATCATCTCCAACCCAAACATCGAAAGTTGAACCAAATTAATAGTGTTTAACAATTTCTTCATTTTTTTAGTTCGTAACACTTTATTTAAATAAAAAATTATTTAATTACTACATAAATTACTAAATAAATAAGGGAAAATTGCAGCAGCGGTACCAAATTTTTCATTAAGTAGCAGACTTTGTCCAAATCTTTACATTTTTCATATGAAAAAAATTAAAATAAAAGAATTAAACAAAATGAAAATTATGGGGATGGATTGAAGAGTGAAATTTGGTGCAAAATGGTGAAATTTGGTGAAATGGTGTGAGGATTGAAGATGATCTAAGTCTTTGTATTTTTGATAGATTGTTTCATGTAAATAAAATAATAATTTACGTTTCACATACAGAGAAAAAGGTTGTCCGCTCGAGAACGTTAAATTAATCACTGATTTAAATTTTTGAATTTCATCGCGAAGAGGAATAATTTTAGTCAGTATGTGTTATTTTTATATTTCTCTTGCCCTCTTTTCTTGACAATGATAAATACTTTTTTGCTTTTCAAGTCAAATTATTTCACCTACATCTTGTTGTCAACAACAAAGCTTAATCGTTGACTGCATGGCGGTGAAAAAGTACGTACAATTTCGTTTTTATATAATATATAAATCACCCCTACCATGCAATAAACACATGTAGCCCCTATCCGCTACGGATTAAAATCTATATTTTAATTAAAATTAAAATTAATAAATAATTTTAATCTCACATTTTATGAGTCCCGCTACTTTTCAATCAAATATTTCATCAATTTTTAATAAAATCTACTAAAAATTTAATTTTCTTGCACTGACAAAGATAAGCCATCGTCGGATGAATTAATCTCCATGTACACAGGTAGGGGTTACCCTCTCACATTAGATGGGTCCCACGCGGGACCCACCTCAGTACAAAAGTAAAAAAAAAAAAAAAAATTACTCACTCCCTATGTGTGAGTTGTCTATGGAGTTTAAACGTTATTTTTATCATATACATTAATGTTTATTTTTTTATTAAAAGTTTAATTGAGATACGATTCTCGTAATCACAAAATTAAACTCAAAATATTTACTTATCCTGACATGTGAATATAAATCACTATAATTGTAATTTGAAGTAGCATTCTATTTGCTCGTAACATTTTATTTTCGAGATATTCATTTCGAATTGTATTATCACAATTGATTGTGCCAGTGTTGGTCTTTTCCTCCTATCGACCAGTTCTACTAAATTTCCACCCGTGACTCGTTATACCCAAATTAATTAAGCGAGAATTTTCAGCCATCAGAATTCTTCGAAGAAGACTTTGCTTACTTTCTCCAGGCATGCAAACAAGCTGGCTTTATCTTTCTGTGCATATAAATATGCACATAAAACCTTTGTTTTACCATCAACTCAAACACTAGCTAGAAATATCAGTACTGGATTTCATTATCCTGTCTGGATTGTAAAACAATTTAAGAAAAACCACCTTAATTCTTCTTTTTCGTTCTCTCTTTTATATATTATTGTTATCAGAGAACCAATCGAGGGTTTTTCTGCAATGAGGAATTATGACTTTAGACAAATGTCAATTGCATTATTTTTCTTGCTTGCTGTTGCTGCCACTGTGGCGCTAGGCCAGGGAACACGGGTTGGATTCTATTCAAGGTCGTGTCCTCGGGCTGAATCCATCGTGCAATCTGCAGTGAATACTCGGTTTAATTCAAATCCCACAGTTGCTGCCGGTTTGCTCAGAATGCACTTTCATGACTGTTTCGTACAAGGTTGTGATGGCTCTATACTTATTAATGGTGACGACGCTGAGAAAATGGCCGGACCAAATCGTTTGTTGAGAGGATATGAAGTTATTGATGATGCTAAGACTCAACTTGAGGCTGCATGCCCTGGTGTTGTCTCTTGTGCTGACATTCTTGCTCTTGCGGCTCGCGATGCAGTTGTACTGGTAAGTTCATTTCTCTTTTCAAATATTGATGATCAAAATTAGTGATAGCACATGTAGCATGATGTGTCAGCACCATGAATTATCAGCATCTAATGTGTTGTACATGGACACGCTATACATGTCAATAGGACATGTTAGTGTCTGATACATGTCATATATGGATATGGATACGAATAAGTCTGGTACCAAGGAGTGTCCATAAATTACTCATCGACCTAATTGGCTATTTGATTGTTGACGTAGACTGGTGGACCAGGATGGGCTGTGCCTACCGGACGGAGAGATGGGCGGGTTTCTTTAGCATCCGATGCTTCGAATCTTCCTGGCTTTAATGATTCCGTCAAGGTTCAAAAACAGAAGTTTGCAGCAAAAGGTCTCAATACTCAAGATCTTGTTACCCTCGTCGGTGAGCACATAATAGTATTAATGAAATCTTGTTCACTATATTCTACGGTCTGAAATTTTATGTCGCAAGTTAACCAAACATTACGGTAATATTTTGAATTTGAAATAGTCATGGAAAAATCCGTCGTTGATGACCGAATCCCAAAGTTTAGGTCCCATTTTTTAGTTTTATAGCATCAAAGCTAACACAAACATCTATGCATGAATATGTAGGGGGACACACCATTGGCACCTCAGCTTGCCAGTTCTTCAGATACAGATTATACAACTTCAATTCAACTACTGGTGCTGACCCTTCCATCGACTACACATTTCTTCCTCAACTTCGGTCCCTTTGTCCTGAAAACGGCGACACTTCCACAAGGGTAGGGCTCGATAACGGAAGTGAAAACCAGTTCGATAACTGTTTTTTCGCCAACCTGAGGAATGGCCGTGGAATTCTTGAATCAGATCAGAAGTTATGGACTGATGGTTCAACAAAAACATTTGTGCAACGTTTCTTGGGAATTAGAGGTCTGCTTGGATTGACATTTAGTGCCGAATTCGGAAAGTCCATGGTTAAAATGAGTAATATTGAGGTTAAGACGGGGACTAATGGTGAAATTCGAAAAGTTTGTTCTGCCATTAATTGATGCAAATGAGGTTTACCTTATTAGGTTATGGACTATGTGTAAGTTTGTTCAAATTAGCGTGAGATGGTATCTATTACACGTACTCTTCGAAATAAATTGAAAATAATAAACTAGTATTTCTGTGTTTTGCTCTACTGTCGATCTTGAATGACGTCCTTACAATCCTCTTATAGAGTTATGGCCTGCGAAACAAACACAGATTGGTCATTTATTTAATTCGATACACTTGGTTAGAAATAAAGTGATAAGCTTGTTCTAATACCACTTATAAAAATTAAGCCAATTGTTATAACACGATTATAGTCTTATAGATCTGATAAAACTTGTTATAAGTATTAAAGACAAAATATAGGAATATAAAATAACAATCACAAAAATACAAGATTTACATAGAAATCCAAGACGGTGAAAATTTATGGGCTGAGACGGAAAACTCACAATATCACAAGGAAATAATTACAATATATTAGACTGGATCTCACAAGATTCTTTCCTAGATATATGTGTCTAATAGTCTCTCTATTAATCTAGATCCATCTGATAACTCTTCGAGTCGATCAAATAAATGTGTAATTTACCACATATTTATGATATAAAAATCTCTAACATATTAGGAAAATTAATACAAAAAAGAGTCTAACATAATGTGAAATCTTATTATAATAGGTAATACCAATAAGAGAATATTTGAGTTGAAATAGAAGAGAAAAACCGCTTCTCCAAATTTACTACCAACTCCCAATCTTCTTCCAACAGTATTTTTAATCAAATGCTCAAAAAGAATTTGGAGTCACAACCTAATTGTAACGAATTTTCACATTGACATGAATTTTACTGCAATGAATAAAACTTAACTCTTCAACTCTAACAATTAGGTTGTTGTCGATATATAGGATGATTGATCCTACGTTGTTTAGTAGGATTTGATCCAAAGACATTCGTGCCATTGGGTTCAGGATTAACAGTATTCCGAGCTTTGTTGGTGGTTGAGACGAATGTGGCCTTGGATGTACCCACAGTAGCATTACCACTTTGAACGTAACCCAAACAATGCATATTTCCAGCAGACTTGTTCATTCCCAACAGATTATCGAGTTTCTGCGTACTACTCATGAACGAATGAAGTTGAGTATTAGATTTTTCAAAATCACTTGTTAAGGATTTAACTTTAGTTTCTAAGTTCTCACTAACAAGCATCAACTCATTCAGATTTTTGGTAGAGTCTTAAAGGTCACATATGAGTTTCTTTTTCTCTCTTTCAAGTTTGTTTACCTTTTTCAGAATGGCTTTATTGACCTTTTTTTGATTTTAAGACTCTCCTCGAATAATTCTCGATAAGACTCATGAATATCAGTCTCATCCTCAGACTCTTCCTCAGATTTTTCACTACGTTCTTACCTTTTTGATTTTAAAACTCATGAATATCAGTCTCATCCCCAGACTCTTCCTCAGATTTTTCACTACGTTCTTTATTCTCAACATTTTCACTTTCCTTATTAGATTCAATCGTAGCTATAGATATGAAAGCCATAAAATTTTGTTCATTTTCACCACCAGAGGTATCACTCTGAGTACTCGAGGTCACTACTAATGCATTACGTCTTCCTTTCTTCAAGTTCTTTTTGAAGTTAGGACATTCATTCCTATAGTGACCAAAGCTCTGACATTCATGGCATCTAACTGACTGAGTTTTCTTATTTGCAGTTCTAGAGTTATTTTTTTCACGCTTATCGTTTGAGAATTTACTAGAGACATCATTTTTCCATTCTTAAGGTTTTCTCATATTCCTCATCACTTTCTGAAATTTTTTAACGAAATAAGCTATTTCGTCGCCCATAAAAGTCTCAGCATCGGTTAACTCACTTTCTTCTTCCCTAACAGTGTTCATGGCTATGGATTTAGCCCTTTTTGGTTGAGATATGGTGAGTTCATATGTTTGTAGGGATCATATGAGTTCTTCTATTAATTGCATCTAAGTCCTTACTTTCTCCAATTGCAGTGACTTTGGTCTAAACCTTTTAAATAGGGATCTAAGGACTTTTCTAACGATTTTCGACTCGAGGATCTTCTCACCTAGGTTGAAACTCGAAATTAACTATATCATTAAACTTCGCATAGAATTCATCAAATGATTCATCTTCCTTCATTCTAATTTCTTCAAACCTAGAGGTTAACATCTACAATTTAGAATTTTTAATAGTTTTAGTTCTCTCGTGTGTGGTTTCTAATATATCCCAAACTTCTTTAGAAATTTTACACATCGATGCTCTTTTAAACTTTTCAGCAGACATAGCCATGAACATGGCAGCCCTTGCTGTTCCAGTTACACACAGCTAACAACGAAACACATTTTGTCGAAAAAATTAGAAATGTTTACATTTTGCCATTGTAAATGGCTAAACATACCAAAGTACACCTGATTAAAAAAAATGACAATTTACACTCCATATTATACATTACTTAAACACTTTATATACCATTTATTATTCTTCAAAATTGTATTCTCTATTACTCTTTCATCTAAAAATTAACTTTTCTTTCTTTCATCTCTCTTTCTTGTAAATTAGTTTTATATTAATTCAAGTATTTTAAATACATCATTAATCTTTTTTTCCCAGTTTCATTCAATACACAAAACTAAATACATTTATAACACATAACTATATATTCTTATCGACTAATGCTACGTGTACATCATTGTGTACAAAAGGATGACATGAAAAAGAAGAAAAGATTACAATAACTGAATTTTTTTCGTCTCTTTTTTTTTTCTCTCTCTCTTTCATATCATTTATCTATACACCATTATGTACACAATGATGTACAAATAGCATTACTCATTTTTATCAGTAACATTTATCCCTCATTTGAGTCATATTTTATAAAAACTCATTTTTAGCCACATATTCTCCAATAAAATATTTTACACGTAAATCGAAAATTTTTCTTTAATTTTTAACCACATATTCTCCAAACATCAATATTCCAAAACATAGTTTTTTCTCGAAAATGGGGCTCAAACAAAGGCTTATATTTATCTTCTATTCTTGTTCGTAAAACAAAAAAAGTGCATAAAAATTAATTCTTGAAAATTTGTTAAATTTGAAATGATATAAAGTTATAACCTGAGCTTATAACGGTAAGAAAATTTCTAGAAATGGGAAAAAAATGCCCTCCAAACAGGGGCTAATATTAGTATCTACTTTCAGGTGTATTTGTGTAATATTATTTTAAATATTAAAAAATTTAATTATAGTACAGAACCGAACCGAACCCGAACGGTTCCAAAATTATATTTGGAACCGACGGTTCCATTTACTAAATACCCGAAAATTTTTGGAAACGAAAAAAATCGAACCGAACCGACCCGCGCCCACCCCTAATCGCAGTGACTTTGGTCTAAACCTTTTAAATAGGGATCTAAGGACTTTTCTAACGATTTTCGACTCGGAGATCTTCTCACCTAGGTTGAAACTCGAATTAACTATATCATTAAATTTCGCATAGAATTCATCTAATGATTCATCTTCCTTCATTCTAATTTCTTCAAACCTAGAGGTTAACATCTGCAGTTTAGAATTTTTAATAGTTTTAGTTTTCTCGTGTGTAGTTTCTAATATATCCCAAACTTCTTTAGAAGTTTTACACATCGATACTTTCCTAAACTCTTCAACAGACATAGCCATGAACGTGGCAGCCCTTACTGTTCCAGTTACACACAGCTAACAACGAAACACATTTTGTCGAAAAAATTAGAAATGTTTACATTTTGCCATTGTAAATGGCTAAACATACCAAAGTACACCTAATTAAAAAAAATGACAATTTACACTCCATATTATACATTACTTAAACACTTTATATACCATTTATTATTCTTCAAAATTGTATTCTCTACTCTTTCATCTAAAAATTTACTTTTCTTTCTTTCATCTCTCTTTCTCGTAAATTAGTTTTAAATACATCATTAATCTTTTTCACCCAGTTTCATTCAATACACAAAACCAAGTACTTTTATAACACATAACTATATATTCTTATCGACTAATGCTACGTTTACATTATTGTGTACAAAAAGATGACATGAAAAAGAGGAAAAGATTATAATAACTGAATTTTTTTCCTCTCTTTCTCTCTCTTTCATATCATTTATCTATACACCATTATGTACACAATAATGTACAAATAGCATTACTGATTTTTATCAATAACATTTATCCCTTGTTTGAGTCATATTTTGTAAAAAAACTCATTTTTAGCCACATATTCTCCAATAAAATATTTTACACGTAAATCGAAAATTTTTCTTTCATTTTAACCACATATTCTCCAAATATCAATATTTCAAAACATTTTTTTCTTCAAAATGGGGCTCAAACAAGGGCTTATATCTATCTTCTATTCTTTTTCGTAAAACAAAAGTGCATAAAAAATTAATTCTTGAAAATTCGTTAAATTTGAATTGATATAAAGTTATAACCTGAGCTTAAAATAAATAAGAAATTTATATTGATATGCAAAAGAATAAATAGTATCATATATTATTTTGCATGATTTTTCTAACAAAAAATTATTCATTGAACGTAACTTATTTAACTTCTATTTGGTGAGGATTAAAATCAATTTTTGGTCAAATTTTTATAAAAGTTAATGAATTATTTAATTGAAAAGTTGTGAATCCCTTGAAATATTTGGATAAAATTAATTATTGAAATAATGTAATAATATACCAATGAATTTGAAATATTAAGTACTTGATCAATTAGTTGTAGAATTTAAAAAGACAATTTTAATAGATTAAAAATTGTTGAATAATATTAAAAATAAATTTGATTATCTTCTTGTACTATAATTCAACTCAATAAACTATAAATAGTATTCGAATAGTTTATTATCTAAATAAATAAATAAAATATGCAGGTTGATTATATTTTTGATAACCTAAAAAAGATTTATTAAAAAATGTCAACAAATGCTGTTTTTTTATAATCATTATGCAA